CCCCCCCCCCCCCCCCCCCCCCCCGCGGTTCAACTCCCAGCTGCGCCGCTTCCCTTATTGGTGCATACCACCATTCCACTGAATGAATTGCGTGATAGCTCTGCTGGTGTTCAGACAGCGGTAAGGTGTGCATATGTTTGTGCACTTGTTTGCATCTACAATCCTTGGTCAAGGCATGTCCTACGGTGAGCACGCTCCATTTCACCTCCATGCTACGTCGTTCCTTCAGCCTCCGTCCAGGGTTGGCGTCGTTTTGCTGGTTCGAGTGGCTCATTCAATGCAGAAGTTAACAAACTGATAGGTATAATGATAATGAGTTGCGTGTATATTTGAGATCATTTGAGGTAGTTCATGCTTTGCTACTTGTTGCGGCTTGGTGCTGCTGCTGCTGTTGCTGACGACGCCGCTGCTGCTGCTGCTTGCTGCTTGCTGCTTGCTGCCGGTGGTGCTGCCTCTGCTGCTGCTGCTGCTGCTGCTGCTGCGGCTTGGTGCTGCGCTGCTGCTGCGTGGTGCTGCTGGCTGGCTGCTTGGCGGTTGCTTCTGGCTGCTGGCTGCAGGCGGCTGCTTCTGCTGCTGCTGCTGCTGCTGCTTGCTGCATAGGACTTGTACTTCACCCTTACAAGTTGTTTACCCTATTTCATAAGCGGGTGGTAAATTTACTCCCAAGGCTTGCTATAACCATACACAGGCTATTTCCTCAAGACACTCTATGCCTGATACTTTTTACATCCTTTTTACCAGTGCTTATCCTACACTACGGACGCCCTAGTGTATGCACAGTCCTTGTGATGCTTACCCCTCGTTCCGGCTCAAGGCATACATAAGCGGGGGGTAAACTTACCCCCCAGATTTGCCATGACCATAAGCCGGCTATTTCCTCAAGACACTCTGCTCCTTATACCTTTTACCAGTGCTTATGACGCCCTAGTGTTTGCACAGTCCTTGTGATGCCAGAAATGCTTACTCCTCTTTCCGGCACAAGGCATACATAAGCGGGTGGTAAATTTACCCCCCAGATTTGCAATAACCATAAGCTGGCTATTTCCTCGAGACACTCTATTCCATATACCTTTTGCCTGTGCTTCTCCTACACTACGGACGCCCTAGTGTATGTACAGTCCGTATGATGTCAGAAATGCTTACCCCTCAAGGCATACAAAAGCGGAGGGTAAATTTACCCCCCAGATTTGCCGATCACGCATCTTCGTGCCTGCCAACGAGTGCACCCGGGTTGTTCCAATGTACCCTTCCCAGTCCCAGTCAGCGATGTCACATTTACATTCTTTAGCGCAAAGTATGTACATAGCAACCTTCCTCCCAGAACATGTACTCACTACATGCTTTGCCGACTATGTGACTAGTACATCCGGTGCGATTCGGCTAGCTTTCGACCTCCTCCCCCTGGCCTCAAGTCCAGCACAAGGCAAAGGACGTGAAGAACATTTGTTTGTTCATGGTCCCGAACACTGTTGTCATCTGTAGTTCACGTTTTCCTCATCCAACACGGCCGCGAGGTGTAGTCATTGCCATTTTGCCGCCATAAAGGCTGTATGACTTACTAGCCTTCTTTAGGTCTCACTTCGCGAACGCCCAACACGGAAGCTAAGGAGGAACCACAACCATACTCACCCTGTGATTGGGGCCACAGAAACAATAGCATCAATTGCCCTTCAGTGCCCCCAAGCCAACCATCCAAGTTGTGTCTTTCCGCAGATGTCCTGCGACCAAGTACTTGAATGAGTAGTGATGAGTCCGGGCCAATCAATGTGTCACGTTGCCCATGCGATTGAAGAAGGCCAACATGCAAAACAAAATCATCCAAGAATATCCAAAACATTTCAAAACCACATGTTTTTTAAATGAATAAGTAATAATAAAGGTCCACATTCGTTGGCGCGTGTTGAGGTGAAAGTGCTTGGAATAGGCACGGTAATGGTGGCATGTTGGGAAAATCTGAAAACATAAACGTCTGATAAAAATACACACTCCCCTGGCATCGTCGCTGATGCTTAGATAGGCAGGGTTGGCGAAGAGGCCATGCACTAGCCTTTGAAATGGGGCGGGACAATTCTGCTCAGCCTGGCAATACTGCTGTGACTATGGTTCTACTCCATGGCAATTGGCGAAACCGCAGCATATCATCGACCTACCCTTTGGGCCGCTTCCGGGGAAGTGTTTCATGCCATTGTGCATCCTTGGTGGTGTAGACATATTGTATGATTAGATCGGTCATTGTAGACATAGACCGTCTACGGCAAAACACATTCTAGAAAATGGTGTTTCAACCTAGACCATCCAAATGGGTGTCCTGTCTAGAGATCTCTAGGTAGTGTAGGGTAGTGTAGATCTCTAGACACCCCGACAGGATGGTCCTGGAATGTGTTTCATGTTTGATTCATCCAGGTGGTCGGTCCTTCTCGATTTCAACACCCGGCAGTGTCGTGTCACGTCGTGTCACGTTTGCTCAAAAGGACAGGGCGCATGGCCGCCACGTGTCACGGGGTGTGTCTGGTGCCGAACAAAGTTCCTGCACCCACAATCTGACTGGTGTGACTTGTGATTAGAGAATGTTCCACTGGCTATATAGAACCTGTTTTGAGATGTTTTGAGGAGATTTGGGGGTGCGAAGCACGCACCCGTCACCGCTTTCCTGGCATGCCATCGTTCCAGATCCAGAACTCGACCGCTCAGGAGAGGAGGGACGTGCTGATGCGCTTGTGCGACGTAGTGGTTTGGTGCGCGGCCTGCACACACGACGGACGGGGAGACGATCGGTTCTTTCTGAACCAGTGGAGTTGTTGTTTGCATAAGTTGGGGGTTTTGATTGGGTTCCTTAGACATGCCTTAGACATCCTTAGACAATGACCCATCAGTGGTTCATTTCATGAGGCTGAATGAAAACAGCGGGGGTGAGAGTTGGCTTTTCCTGTTCCCTGTAGTTGTAGTGGTATTGTCTTCGTGTTTTTCCCATGTTCTACTACAGAAAACCAAAGATTATATAGATTACAGTATTTACAGAATATATTCATCTTTCACAAGAGTGTTCATATCACTCCTCCTCTCACAGCATCTAAGATCAGCCAAAGTGTTGCAGGTCGTTGCTCCATTGGGTGTGGTTCAAAAAGAAAAGAATCAGGGACCTTATAATCTTTTGGTCATCATTTCATCAGTGGAGTTCTTGTCACTTGTCTGCTGAGCTGCGGCCTTTGTGGTCGCCAATGCAATCAACCTGGAGCTTCTACAGGTTTGTCCTCAGCTGGCCTGGCATTCGGACTTTTCTCAGCGAGTGCCGGATTTGGCTCGTTGCTTATAAGGTGCAAAGTCTGCAGCTGATCCCTTCAACACGCTGCCTTTGGTCTTAAGGCCAAGGCGGAGGAATTGCTGCTAGCCAAAGCGACGGCCGTTCTTTGCGCACCCGTTCTTCTTTCTTCCGCGCCTGTGTGCATGGCGCCGGTGAAGCAAGCTGTCCCCTTGGTCGCGATCTGGCCAGTCACGTCGGGCCAGTCACGTCAGCGGGCCCACGGCCGGTGCCGACAACCCACGTCCTTCAGAGATTCAGATTGATTGGTATAAGTAATTAGACCTTGATGCGAATCTGATGTGCCGGTATGCAGGCATCAATGGGTGCAGATACAGCATTGGGTATGGGCTGCACGAGGCTCTTTTCATTCGAAAGTGGTGCACCACGGGGGGGGTGAAAGTGGATGAAAGCTACACGGGATCAGATCAAACGGTTTTTGTTCAAGGCTGGGAGCAACCTGAGGTGACGGCTGCCTGCTTCACAAAGCATGGAATGTTTTCCAGGGTTGGGTGACTCATGTGAACCGTCTTCAGCACCTTTCAAGAGTAGCTCTTGCCAACACGTCCAACACCGTTTAGCATCTCGGCAGGCAGCAGATGTCCGTGAAGCAGCTGCAGTCTGAGTGCTGGCGCAGGAGGCGCGGTAGCTCTTCCCTCGCAGTGATTCGCAGTGGTGATGGACTGAGCTCGCTAGGGGTGGTGAAGATCCTTAGGTAGGCCATCAATTGCTTTGGTTGGCGATTACTTTGCTTATGGACTGAGTCTTAGGCAATTGATATTTTGGGGCTCACACTGCGTTGAAAAACGTTGAGCGTGGGAGTTAGTTTTTCTATAATATCAAGCCCGAGGCCATCATCGTCATCACTGATACAGGGTGCGGGCAAGATCCAATATGGCAAAGTTTGCTACATTTTGTTACATATTCTTGGCCTGTGATGGTTCGGGTTTTGCAAGTCTCAAATGTAACCATTGTATGTATCTCAGGTTTCTGATTAAAAGACAACTGGCTAGTCTTTTGCGTTGCTGCAACACCTCCAAGCACCAGATAGAAGTCGTTTCAGTGTGCTTCGGTCGACGCACTCCTCGTCCATCCGACGCGGGTCCTCGTCTCGTCTCCAGTCGCACCCAGGATCCCTTACATTCCGCAGACGCGTGTGAGCCACATCATCTTGCTCGAGACGGAAAATCCGGTCGGGCCGAGTTGCGGGCTTCGTCAAGGTGAGGGAGGTCACCGGGCTGCCATTGATCCCGGTGACCGAAGGGTTCGAATTAAACGGGTTCAGAATGGGAAACGAACTTGTATGTAGGCCGTGGGGCTGATGACTGGAGGTGACCGGAACCCTGTTTGATGATTTGGAGACAGTGACCGTGTTTTTTTAACATGTCTGCTGCTCAGCCAAACAGGAGAAGTCTGGATTTCAGTCAGCTGTTGGTACTGTAGGCCCACCTATTCATGCCCTATGTGTGTGATTCCCTTGTGGACGACGGCCAAACAAGGGAGCAGAACTGGCTGACTGGCTATCATGGCTCTCAGAGTTCAACAGTTCAGCGATTTCGCGAGGTGCTACCTTTCAATACGCACGCTTCATGCTGATGGACAAGCTCCTGTCAAAGAACCTGCTAGTGTAGACTGTTGAATATAAAACTCCCGTATGGAGATGTAAGACCAGGCTGGCACATGCTGGTACTAGGTAAAGGGGGTTACTAAGTGTACCTTGTCGACCTACCGACTGCATCAACCACGACTGCAGGATCATGGGCTCCCTGGGAGCCCCGCGTCTCAGTCCAGTGAACAGTGCGTGACCGTGTGTTTTGTGGCTCCGTGGGTCGCCCCTGTTGAAAGCCATGGTTGTCCCCTTCAAATCACGAAAGGTAGCGGTTACGCTACCTGAGTTTTCCTCTTGCTTTAGCAAAAATGTATTATACCCAGAGTGGAGCCCATCTCACTGAGAAATGGCCCCCGACATATTCGTTTGCTGGCCGGGGGGGGGGGCCCCCCCCCCCCCTTTCAACTCCACCCTGGCGCGTCTCGGGGTCAACGGTTCGAAAACACTGTAAATACCAGTGTTTTCAGCTCTTCCAGTCCTCAACAGTGACCGAAAACCATGGAATTTACAGCGTTTTTTGTGGCTGTCCGGCAAAAAACACCGTAAAAACCGATTGTTTTTGATGCGTCTCGGTTAGAAAAATGACCGAAAAATGACCAAAAACCAGGAAAGATTTTGTCGGAAAGTGTTTTTGAGGCTTTTGGAGGCTTCAAAATTGCACAACACTATGGTATTTACATGGTTTTGTGCACCTTCCCGGCAGAAAACGCCGGTATTTACACGGTTTTCTGCGCTTTCCCAGCACACAACCGTGGTGCGCCTCTGGATCGACGGCTACAAAACACCGTAAATACCAGTGTTTTCAGCTCCTCCTGTCTTCAAGCATGGCCTTAAACCCTGCCGCGGCTGTGGATCGACGGCAACAAAACCTCGTAAATACCAGTGTTTTTGAGCTCGTCCTGTTTGCAAACAAGTGGGGGGCCTCTCACGCTCAGTAACTTCTCTTCAAACAAGTGGGGGGCCTCTCACCTCCTCCCGGATTACGCCTGATTCCCTGCTACCTTTCGTTCACCCCCCTCCTCTCTCAAGTCATCGCTTCGCTATGCTTCGCTATGCTTCAGGATGGTTCAGTGGTCTAAAAGATACAGAAAGGCCATTGCTGTGTGTTAAGTCAAAGTTAAAAGATCTACAGGCTGGGTCTGTATGGTTCAGTGGTCTAAAAGTCAGGCCCAGCCATTGCTGTGTCAATCCACCGGCCGAAGATCCTGTTTTTCCCGACACCCTCCACCGCCCCACGACCAGCACGCGGACGAGCACGGAGACCTGGTGAGACGCTTGATGCAGGACCGGGTGCGGTGAGACGTCCGGTGGGTTGGGAGGATTTGGGAGGGATTGAGACTCTCAGACACTTGAGTCACCTGAGTGTCAGACCCTGATTGTTTTGCACAACATGTGTTCGATTGGTCGAAGAGTGCTCAGACATCATGCTGAAGTGTCGCCAGGTGCGTCGCGTGGGTGGCGTCGTTCGGTATGACGACACTCCGAATCCTCATTGGTGTTGTCGTCGGTGGTTTCGGCCAAAGCGTGTCAACCGAACTCGACGTTCTTCAGCAGAACTCGACCTGGGTTCAGTGGCTTTATGGTGATGTGTAACTTGTGGGCCACAAAGTGGATGTGGTAACTGAGGGAACCGGCAAGATCTCCCGGCAGCCCTGAAAGCATCAATGAGTCAATGAGCGCTACGATTAGCAAGCAATGCGGTTCGTGCTGACCAGGCAACTAATTATTCTTCATTATTCTTCTCTTGAGCTTCAAAAGGTGGGTTCATAGTGAAGCTGCCTCAACCTCCCATGTGGCCGCAAATCCTGCCGGATCTCCTGTTCGCAGCACAGTATTCCTGCCAAGTCCCTAAGTTGCTTACCCCAAAAGAGGTCACAAAAAGGGTCCCTTCCGCTGGGTCCATCGTCCTCCAAAGCCACGAATTGCGCGCGATTCGCATTCCACGATCCCGACCACCCGATTTTGGGGGCTCACTTGGGGAGGTCCACTCAAGGCGATCCCGAAACTCCGGATTGAAAACTCCTTCCGACCCCTTTCACGACGCCAGCAAAGGACCAGGCCGCCCGGGTGACCGCCGTGACCGCCCTTCCGCTCGCCGCATGCCGCGCTGTTGAAGGGCCCAAAAGGATGAGGCCCAGAACGGTTTGGCCCAACGTTTGACCTGTGAATTCCTGTCTTTCAAAGTGATGATGACATTGGGTGTATAGGACATAATGTGACTATAAAGCTGGGTGGGTGACTTGGGTGAACTCCCTCGCCCGCCGGCCGCTCCATGGGAATCTTGTCCCAGGCCAACAGGAGTTGGAGGGCCCATCTTCTCTAAGACATGTGCAAGCCAACAGGGCGCGTTCTAGGATCCTTTCACCGGAGATTCGCTTACAGGGAGAGACTCCTCAGAAATCAGGATACCTTTTCAGGGGAGTGCAGAATCAGAAATACATCGGAAAATCACTACAAAATCATTGGAAACATACATAAAGGTGATTGGAAAAGACCGAAAGAAAACCACTGACTGGTGAAACACCTCCTTGGTTTTATTTCTGGTTCAGTGGAACCTCCGGATGGCCATTTTCGGCCCCGGCACACCGGGCTCTTGTGGACGTCCAGGACGCCTATCCCGGCAGTCCCGGACCGTTGCCAGCGAGAGGAGACGGAGAGAGACCGAGACCGATCGGGGGGTGCTATAGTTGGGATCCAGTTGGGCCAGGTGGCCATTGGGATGAAAGAAATGGGAGGTTGTGGTAGTGGGAGAGGTATATCATGTCCTCACAGGTCTCCAACATGATCCAACTGTACCAAGCATTTGGAATCTGGAACTTGAGAGAAAAGCCTCTTTGCAGCTTCTTGCAGCTTCGTGTTCAAAAGGATACCATACCGAACCGAGACCCCTTCGCAGAGACCGAACGCTCTTTCAGTACATGGGTGCCTTCCAATATAAAGGGGATCAGAAAAAGAGACGCAAATGAAACGAAAGCCCGGTTGGAGGGTCTCCTCGTTTAGTTTAGACTCCAGATGACTCTCATGGTCCGCGTTTCTTCCTTTCGGCCACTGACTCCGCAGGAGTGTCCGGAGTTTGGACGCCACTTGGGCCACATTCTTTTGGTATCTTCGCGGATGGCCGAAATGCTGAGTTTCTACATGTTTTTACATGAAAGCCTTAGACCATCCGCGTAGGACATTGAATTTCGTGGTTTGTGCCATCTAAATTGCTGCGACCGTAGTGCAGCTATATACTGACCTGGATGTCACTGGTTTGGAAAAGACACTTGGTTCGGGATTGGTGAGCAAACCACCAAAGGTGAGCCATCCTCCCAAGCCAAACGGCCGAAACTGGGCCACCCACAGCCAGTTCGGTCTGAGTAAAACGACAAACCTGAGACTCCACACTCCCTGGAATCATCATGGACATGGAGTGAAGACACGTGAGTTCACCACCGTCTTGGGTATTCGGACAACTCATGCTCATCCGAGTCGTGCTTTGTGCCATGCCATGCCATGCTTTATTCGATGATGAAGGGCCCAGGAGCGTTTCTCCTCTCATTGGCGCAGCGCGTTCTCCGCGCCCGGCTCGACTCGACACGTCCGGCTCGATTCGGCCGTTCAAACCCGTCAGGATGTGATCATGGTGAGGTCATTGTTCGGTGGGCTCGCTTTTTCTCACTCAAAGCTGACATGAAGCATGATCCACCTAACATGATCATTGTGATGATGTAAGCTGATGATTGTGTTTCGCACAGAGACTTGCATGCATTTGCTTTGTTTATCTTTGTTGATTTATTCAAGTATGTTGAAGTAAGACCATCAGATTCTACTAGAAGGCCACACATCCAGGTGGCGGCTGTTAGGATCCGATAGGATACATACACAACCTCTTCGCATCAAAACACGAGGCTGGCCTCGCATCAAACGACACCTTCCGGCTGCAAACGTCGCCCAGGCCCGGTGCGGGGAGCTTCTCACCAGGCGGACTGGCGGAAGCGACGAACACGACACGGGCGAAGGTGATTCACAGACCAAGACCACTTAGTTCAGGTGGTTTTCACATCGGGGGGGTGCACTATTGAAATATTTCAGGTCAGACCGTAAGTGAGTGGAATAATGTGGAATACGATGAATATGTTTGTTTGGAATATGTTTTTCCGATCGATTGTTTTCTTGTTTTTCCTAGGGTATATTGAAACCATTTAAAACCCATGTGGGGGTATGACCTGGAATATTGATCAAATCAGGTGTCCCACCAAACAGTTGAAAACATGCCCAACAAATCCCAACAATCTCTACACAGACGGTCATGTTTTTGATCAGCAATGGATCCAAGCTTGTTGTTGGATTTTTTCTTATTGCTCCACATGCTTATCAATTTGGACCTTGACCTTGCTTTCCCTAGTTCTTTAGTCCCACTTGGAAGCATTTGGAAGCGTCAGCATGCTTTAGCTCTCCCACACCAAAAACCAAATAAGAGGAGCCCACCCCACCTTGGCCAACTTAATCCTTTGGACCTTTCTCTCCTAAATGTATACGTACAATTTTGTGATATTCTTAGATGATATATGAACTCAGTTTTCTCAGGAATCGTGTGCAACCATCATATTAATATTCAGCACGTGAACGAGTTCAGGAATATGTGTTGAACTCCATGTGCAACACCTCACCATGTGTGTGCGTTTTCGATCCGGAAGACCTCCTGGCCTCGGTAGACGGGTCGATTTCCTGAACTGAACCCAGGGGGTATCACGCCAGGGGGTTCGGTCTCCCTTTATTTGAGCTACACACCCATGTGACATACCATCCAATCACTACCGGGCAGTGCCGGGACTCGAGGAGGGCGTGGTTTTTAGTAAGAAAGACCAGCGCAGTAGCAGTCGAGGGACACTGGACAGGTGGTTATATCACCCATGTTATGGTCCCCAAAGAAATCACAAAAGGGTGGTATATCGACCCCTAGGGAAAGAGGTGTTCGTTGTGGAGGACATTCAGTATCTCCGTGGACTTTTGGTCGAAGTCGAAGCGTGGACATTTATGGACTATGACGGACTCGGACTATTTAGACGCACCAAAGATCATCTTCCGTTCCAAGTTGCGTGTGTTCCCCTTCCTGTTTTGAAGCAGTTTTCTCCAGTGATAGACTTCATCTTTGGCTAAAGAGGCCCTTCCGCTTGGACGTTTCCTCGGGCCGGAAGTTGGCGTGCCATTCCCAACAGAACAAGAACCCGACCATCGGAACCTGCAAGCTTTTTTCACTCGCCGTCACGAGCGGTTTGTCGCCGAAAAATCCGGATGGCGCTTCCGGATCTGTGAAGTCGACTGGGCAAGACTGGGCAAGACTGGTCGACTGTAAGTCGTCAGACGTGTGGAAGACGTGTGGCCTCGCAGGAGTTGTTTCTCAAACTACTTTTGTTGGACTTTGTTATCCCTGCAAGATGTACTTGTAGATGAAATCCAAGACATGTTCTTTTGTACGTAGCGTGAACAGGATCTGGCATGGCTGCGACTCGCGCGGCACTCGCGAAACCTCTGTTCATGTAGCAGATTTTGACATGGATGTTTAATCTCAAATTATGTTAAACTCAAGCTTCCTGAAGGGCAAATGACTTCACAACACTACCTGGATGTTTTCGCTTGGCCATGGTGATTCAACACCCGAACAACAAGAAATCAACACCAAAATGATCGTTTCGTCTCACTGTAGAGAAGAACACATGCAGTTTCGAGTTTGAGCGGGAGGATGTGGCATATGCATATATATATATATGTGTGTGTCCATCATGGTGTTTCACTCGGACAGTCCGGGTGACCTTTCCACGAGTCGGGTGACCTTTCCACGAGTCGGGTGACAGCTTTCACATGCGGCCGTGTGACTTGTTGCAACCCCAGGTGACTAAACCCCAGCTTCTACTATAAACATCTATAAACAGTAAGAAATTAATAGAAATTATTGTGGGGAGGGATCGGGACCAGTACATCCCGATGTTCAGTTGGTGAACTACCGTAGTGTCCCCAGAATGATGATAGCTGTCCTTGTTTGGCTCCTTTTCTTTGCTCAATGTTCATGCTAGTTTGCGATGTGCATCCAAAGCAACGAACCTGTCGCTCTCAGATGACCAAAACGCTCCGCTGCGCTGCAAAATTGAAAAATGTGTAAATCATCATAAATCATCAGAACTGCGAAAAGACACCGGGGAAAAAATAGAAAACAAACAGGTATAGGCGTTGTTCTACGAAAAACAAACACACAATGTTCCTTCAAAACACACATGTTCCTTAGTGCAGATTAAAGCGTGTCAGTCTCGTTCGTTCCAAGTTTTAGAGTACTTTGGGATTCTGTTCCGTTTCACTCTCGGAATCCCATGTTCGGGGGTACGACGAGGGTCCAGGGTATGCGAAGTGACGGACCTCATCTGCAAATCTCGAACTCCCACGGTGTTGTGGGGGGACTCGTTTCTCGTTTCTCGTTTCGTGAACTCACTGCAGGTGGTGAACGTTTGCCTGCTTCACGGCTGCAGACTGGGCCAGTTGTGAAAAACACGGGTTTGGGGTTGCAGGTGAACCAAGGTCCCATGGTTTTGACCCACGGCCACAGATGGAAAAGCTATTTAATTTTGTTGGCTCCTTTTGGGCGTCTGTCTTGACCATACATATGGCTGCGGCCTGCCATGTGTTGGGCCACGTTGACCAGAGTTTGACGGCCTTCGGGCACCACATGCGTGGTTTTGGGGGACTTGGAAGGGGAGGGCCCGATACCCAATCCAATGGATGCTAAATCATTCCAAATTGGTGTCCATCAAGTGGAACTCATGTTTGTTGGGTCAAAACAGGGTGTCGGAGACAATCCATCTCCACCAGCCCGATGTTCTTCGGCGAAACAAACATGCGGGCGCTGACCCACCTCGGCGAACGCCACGCTCGCTTCGCCCGACGACGCGGCCGGATCGATCTATAACGCGCAGCCCAAGGCATGCATGGGCATGCGTTGGGCCATTGTCAGTGTTTGACAATGCTCGTCTCGTTGTGTATACGTATACGTTGTTTGGCTGGATGTTTCATGATGTTTCACGTTTTGGAGCCAGTTGATTCGAAACAATATCTCCAAGCGATCGAAGCCTAGCGCTCTCAGTTTTAAGGCTCCAAATTCCCCCTTGGAACCACAGCTCACTTGGGAGCTTGAAGCGGACTGATAGCTGGTTGTTTCTTCTTCCCCGAAACAAAATCCCCCACAGCCCAAAATTGTTTGAAGACCGTAGTGATGGTGACAGGTTGCTGACCGCACCCAGCAAGTGCACACCACGTGACCATTGATGAAGAGAATGTCGATGTCCAAGTGTAATATGACAGGGTTTATGTAGTCGTTAGGTTTGCCTGGACATCCCACGCGACTAAACCATACTGAACCTATGTGTAATACTGAGTGTTCACTGTGCTTGTTACTTTGCATCAATTGGGATGTTTGGGGACCACGATCGGCCTCCCTGTAAATCGAATCATTCGAACCTCTAAAAAGGTGTTTTTTCACGGATTCTACAACCTTGACTTTTGATGAACACGTTTTTCCATGGTTCGGTTGGCCTTGTTCATGTTGCGGGTAGAGCCAATTAAGTCAGATCAAGTCCTCTAGACAGCCATTAATTTTGTACAAGAATATCAGTCGTTTTTGGACATTCTTTAAAACAAAAAAAGAAAAAGGATTGGACATTCAACACCTGGCCAGACAGATGAGCGGACGACCGAGCTCCCCCAAACCGAGGCTTGGACGGGCACAGTGGCGTGGGGGACCTCAGAGCTAAGAGGCACTTTGCCCGTCTATGGATGTAAGATGATGTAAGGGGCTAAGGGGCACTAGAATTGGATGTGTTGATTTAGAATGGTGTAATTGTGGTTATTCCATGTTGTTCCCTAGTAGCAGCCCGATCCCGTGCACCTGTCGACTACTAGTGGAATCACCCAACATCTCCCCGAGATTTTGCCTGGGGATGGTAGCCCAAGTGTTTTTCTGCTCGGCCGTTGGAACCTTTTTTGACCAAACAAGCGCCAGTGTTTGGACTAGCATTGGCGAAGGAGAAATCGTTCGCGAAAAGAACCTGGCCCAGGATGTGAATTTGAGGTATCCAGGCTACGACATGTATATATTTTGAGAACGGGAGATCCCGAACCTTGCCCAATCGGGCGTACGGTTCTCGATTTCTCTCCCGAACCTTCCGAAGGTCGGAACGGTCTGGGAGGGCAAACGATTTGAGCTACACACCGACTGGCATGTGTTTCTTCACCGATGACACACGCCCTTTTTCCCACTCTCTTCATCTGGAAGTGGATGGCAGTTTTTGCTCCAAATTTGGATGACCGTTTGATGAAGCAGGTGAACTTACTCCACTTCACATGATTTATTTCGATGTTTATAGCTTTTTTCGGCCTCACAAAGGTGGCAACCAGCTCGCTGGAAGTCGTGTATGGCCTCCACAGTGTAGCTCGGAATGTCTTCGGGTTGCTCCGACATACACCCTGAGCTGCACCATCTATCCATATGTGGTCCACCCTGGTGTATGTCAAGCTAGGCAAACTGATGCTCCATCTAAATGGTGTTTCCCTCCCGTGGCCACTGGACTCGAAGTGAGGGTCAAAGCTAAGCGGACGGTTTGCGATCCAAAAGGAACTGACTCCAGGACAGATGACAGATGAAGTGTAATCTCTGATTTGGGGACATTCCAATGCACTTGATTTGGGAGACTCCAGGGACATTCCAAGTGTCCTCCCATTTCCCGTATTTGAAATTCGGGACTCTGGCGGAAGGGAAAACAATGGCCCACTGACAGGTCAGGCTTTGAAGCGGCAGAAGCATCACCGCAAGGTGCATGGCAGTCAGGGTGCCCCAGAGGGTGCAGTCATGGAGTGATGGAGGAAGCAAGCTACAGCAGTTTCAGAGGTTCGATGGTACACACCCAAAGATGTATTTTTTGATATTTTTTGTGTAACCACCAACATTGGGAATTGTGCCATCGAACCTCTGAAAACCACTATAGTAGAAACCACGCCATGCTTTTGTCGCCATGGGAAAATGGATGAAAATTGCCAAACCTCTATGGAGATGTGGGATTTCTGGGCAGATTTGGGCAGGTCTCAGATCTATATGGCTTCGTCACCGCGGTGTTCCCGCAGAGTTCTGATAGCTTTTTTTCGAGACAGCATGGACAGTTCAGACTACCACATCATGAGACTCGACTCATGAGTGTTTAGCTCAGAGTCGACTTGCTTCGGTGAACACCACGGCTGCGCGACCGTCGGTCGATCTCGCCCTCAGGGCGCCCAGTGGCGTGCCCGGTGGCATGCGCCCCCCACCCAGGCGTCCGCGGGAATGTGATTGGACGGAGGAGAGACCCTTTGTCCCGAGGAAAAGGACCGTTTTTTTGGGGTAGAGGTGTTTCAACTGGGTTTTTGCGGAGAGATTCGGCATTGAAGATGTCAGCCTTCTTTTGGGAGATTTTCGGATCTCAAGCTTCTGTATAATGCAGTCGTTTTTGGGAAAAACTGATGGAGTATATTCATGTGTGTTCTATTTTTGGAGTCTCGTTTCCTCATTTGGTCTTGTTTCGGGCGTCGAGCCAGGTACTGTAAACGGTGGTTTTCAGAGGTTCGATGGCACCATCCCCAAGTTGGTGGTTCGTAGACCCCCCCCTTTTTTCAGCACATCTTGAGGTTGGTGCGATCGAACCACCTGAAAACCGCTGGTCGGTCGCTTTGTCCCGTCGTCTCGGCCTTCGGGATCTGAAGGCCCAAGCTGGTGCTGGTGAGGGGTGCTGGTGCTGGTGGTGTTATATGATTGTCTATGTCTATGTGTTGATGTTTAACAAAAGCACACCCAACAGCAAGAACAACTGGTAATTGCATGGTATAAATGATTGATAGGTATTCATCCACCAGTATACCAAGTTGGTTTATCAACTTGAAATGTTTCTCCGACTGAGGCTGAAATCCTCTGCAGTATATAATTCAATTGCATGTTTGTCAATTGGAGTCAAGTCCTGAGTAATCCACGGCCAAGTCCTGAGTCTTTCCGGCCATACAATTTAGGAGGTCTCGGCTTCGCATGGCGCACCCCTGAGTGGGGATTCAGAGTTGGGTATGCTTCAAAATGATCCCGGAATGCTGAAACCTATTCATTGGCCTGAAAGAAGATGCAGTCAGTTTGGAAACAGGCCTGTCAAGTACCCAGCCTAGCCACAAGCTCATTGAAGCCTCGTATCAGATATCTTTGCCCAAGGAAAAACAACCAGAAAAGAGTAACCAAGTAACCTGTAGGTGAAGCGAGTATCCTTGCAAGGAACTCATCGTTCTCAGGAGTGTGCCTAGTTCACCACTTCTCATGTCCACACAACAAAAAGAAAAGAACCACGCTTTCAGCTTTACTTGCCAAGTGGAGTTTGTGGCAGCGAAGTCGATTGATTTGGTGACCCATGCGTTTCAAATGGAAGCCATGCAAGTATTTGAAAGCCAAAGCGCCATGAGCTCCTCCATGATGCAGTCAGGTGTTTCACCGCATTCCATCTCAGCTCCGAACGGCCAGATCCACCCCGAAGAGTACCCCGAATGCCGGGCCGTACGGGCACGGCTGGCAGCAGGGAGCGTCAGGGCGACTTGAGCGGCAGGGAGCGCTCTTTCGGCGGCCGAAAGGCTTTGGCATTGTGTCGGGTTTGACAGTTTCTTGACTATGATCATGTCATTAATTTTGGTATTGTATAGATATCATATTTTTTTGACCATAGGCCTATGAAGTGTTCACATTGACGCCTAGGCTTTTTGTTGGGTCACAACATGTCCCCAGCCACCCGCCTTTCGGGCGACCGACTTGGACGGAGGGGGGTGGGCGTTCCGGGCGTGACTCGGGGGTCGGTTTCCGGTGCAGGTTTCATGACATGCAGGTCTATGCCCGAACTCGGGGAAGAATGCAGAAAATTTACATGCTGAACATGCTGAGGGGCATAGGACAGTCCTTATGTTTCACTAAAATTGGTGTTCGTATAGCAATCATTGTAACGACCTTCCGAATCCTGCCATGGATTTGCAGTTTGCTAAGCTTGCTGCGTGTTTAGCTGATTGTACGAACTTCTAAGGCTCCGAGAAAATCTACCTCCGGACAGGTCTGAGATGGCAGAGTCAGGGTCAGGGTCAGGACAAAGTGGATTTATGAAACCATATGAAACCCTCAAATGTCGGATCTTCGGGTTGTTTCGGACCACACTTCAGAAACCGCTGCTGCTCGGGACACGGACACCGCGACGCGGCGGTCCAAGGACCTCTTCCGGGAGCTCTGCGAATCAACGGCCACAAGATCGGCGCAGGTCGGGTCGGAGCAGTTGCGGGGCAGCTGCAGAGCAGCTGGTGATTTTGGGAGTTGGTACTGATTCCAAGGAAATACTGCAGGTGTTTGAATGCCTTCACAAGGGCTGGACTGAAGAATCAGTTGAGTAGATGGGTGCAAAGAAGAATGATCCGGAATTGCCGCAGCGTGCGGCAGCAATGTGAGAAAGAAGAGATAAGGGACTGGACGAGAAAAGAGAAGCTGGCTGGGACAGTCACCCGTGTTTTTGCGGTGAAAACGGCCGCCCATAAGTCTCAGGTGGTTGCAGCACTGAGTGTCCAACAGAACATTGACAGAGCTGACGTGACATAGTCTTTTTACTGCGTAGTCGCAATCGCTTGTCAAGGGACAGTTTAAGAGAAACCCAATCACCCAAAGCAACACAGGAAGACAGATGAACGCCCACTGGCTGTCATTGTGTAACCCATGTTTTTGAGACCGGGATTCTTTCCAGCACCATGTAACTGTGTGTACAACACTCGACTCAGGATTTTGCCATACCTGTAGTTCCAATGCTGGGCTGTACAGTCTAGAACCTGATCATCAAGGTACCCATTGGGCAATCGCCAGTTGCCGATCGTGCACAGGTCCGATCGTGCCTTTCCAGAGGTTGTCGTCCAGGACTGCACTGAGACCCAGTCATTCCAGATGCACCGACAGATCTTTACTAGAAGGTCGTGGATGTGACAAATACTACACCTTTGCAACGGGGACTGCGATGTCTTTTTCTGATACTGGTCCGACTGGTCCCTACCAGCATCCACTGTGAAGAGGATCTACCAGTCTCAACATTATAGGACGAGCCAGATTGATTCTCGTCAAACTATCCACCTACCACTCTCTCTCTCTCTCTCTGACAGTATGTGAATTCACTTCACAAGCCTGAAAGTTCTTACGTAGTACAGTATTGGGCCACTTCGGCAAGACAAAGCATACGAGAAGCAGATGCATAGCCAATGATTGGGCGAGACACACTGCTAAAAGCGTCGCAACACGAACACATTTCGGTGTTTGCCCCGAGGATTCCAGGATTCGAATCGTAATCCTGGACATTCCCAACATGGGGCAACGGGTGGCTGGTTCAAACGAGACTTGCTGGCTGGCCCAGGGTAGATGTTCCTCTACCCAGCCAGTTCATAACCTTTATATAGAATATTATGTATATGTATATATTTATAACATGTTACAACATTAATTAACAATCTTTATCCCTCAAAAAGAGGAATCTGTCAGAGTATTGTTCTTTGCTCCGTTTCTGCGTGGAGAATGACCGATGTGATGGGTCGGCTGCGCAGTTCCATTGACGAAGAAGGTTCCGTTGACGGGACAGTTGTGGGACTCCATGTTGCATGGGAGAGTCGTGGCTCATTCACCAAACCATACATATGATGACCTGATGCGAAAATCCCATAACTGTGATGGTTGTTTTCCTTGTCAAAGAGAGCTATTTCCCTTTGGGGGTGTTCCCAAATCCCTGTTGTTGTCCTTTTAGGGGAGAGCTATGTTGGATCATCTTCAGACCATACCCCTCGCTCCAAGCCTTGATTTCAACTGACAGGACATCGCAGGGGCCGAGCATTACCAAACGTCGGAGGGCCCGGCGATGGCGGAGCCCTGCGGTGCGTGGGCAATTCGTTGTGGGAGCGTTTAGATTTGATGGTTCTGCGCCGCAGGATTTAAATCACTGAACAGATAAGACCTTGACAGTCTGACTGCCACTGCAGACCGAGTACAGACCTTGACAGTCTGACATAAACATACATAATTATATAAACTGAATTAGCACATATAACATAATTAAACTACAGAAGGGGTGGCCATGGGGCCTGGGTTTTGGTGTTCCATAAATATTAGGTAAATGCTTCACAAACACAATCAAAACCAACAAAAACACTGATAAATGTGCATAAAGGATCAAAAACACATCCCGTCGTGGCGAACTGGTCACAGAAGGGTCTTGAAGTTCAGTTACCTTGGACGAAGACTCAACGGATCAAGGCCGGATCCGAAGCTCGGCAGACGTTGGGATGCTTGCTGCCGAGCCAGCTGCTGCTCGGCCAGTCCGAGAGCACACGTCTCAGACAACAAACAATGACACTGACAACCTTGGCGTTGTTCTGCTGTTGCTTGGTTTGCTCCATGTTGATCCTTTGGGTTATTTGGTTTGTTCATGTGCTTTCTACTCATTTCTTTGGTTGTGAGAACAACCGCAGTCCGCACCGTCTCATGTCCCGCACGGTGCCGCCGTCCCACACACTCACTTGTATCTCTTATGCCACCATTTTCACACAGTGGAGCTATAGTGGAGCTTTGTCGTCCACTGATTCCACTCTATAGTTACTGTAGTTCTAGATGGGAACCCTGGGATTGGAAGCGCTGGCTTTCTATGCCAGAACGAATCCGTTGAGACCAGGAGGCTTGGCAACACAGACTTCAGCATTTCTGGGGCTTGTGAACTTCACATTCACAGAAAACGAACTGCTACACCACCAAAGAGAGAGAGACACCCTGGAGCTTCTTGTTGTTGGTCCTGCCGTTGTGTGGGGCGGTCGGCTGGTCGGAAAAAATCACGCCTACCGCCTACGATATTAGACGATATGGCACGCGATTTCATGTGATGTCCATAGCCTATGAGCAAGCAACAGGAAGCTGTTGATCCTTCTGGTTCAAAAAAGTCCCTTTGATCTGGCAGGAGAGCTAGATATATCCCTTGCCGGTTATGGACGTTTGGATGATGAACTAAAACATGAAAGTGATTTAGAGACATACACCATTTGCTGGGATGGCCTTCAGCATACGAATTGCTTCACTGGCTAGCCGTGCTGCACGGCACATTGACACTGCATTGGTCTGCTCAGATCAAGCAGTCGGTGCTCGCTCCACTCCCAGCAGTTGCGCCAGTGGACGTACAGTGGACGGGTGAACCTCCCACGCAGCCCTTGACACTTTGACTCGGATGACACGGATGCTGGGACCAGTGAGTGATGCACAAATCACTCAATGTATTCACTTGACCTTGCTGAGGACATGCGACATTGGGCATCGACAGCAATGCACATAGCCCACACCCGCTCTCGTTGTTCATAGCGTACGCGGCGTACGGCGGCTGAGTCTTGTTTCGATGAAATACCGGACCGGGGAGCAACTGCAACAATGTGACCATTGATTTTTCCTGGCTTCATACAGCGGTGCTGAGATAGAGGGAGTAGACTCACATGTCTTGAGCATTGTTGTTGCCTTTCCTCTCCGTTTGGTCCGAGCGGCGAGCTTCCCTATGTCAAAACGTTTGGCCCAACCGGAAACATGATCAAATGAGCCACCAGTCATGGAGCTGTAATGCGCCAAACTCTGGCAAATCGCTGCCACAGGGTGTCAGAATCGTTGCTTTTTCCTTTGCAGTGGTTTGCACATGCCATTCTTGAAGTCTTTAGCAACCCTGCTGAAGAAATTGATTGGAAAGCCTGGCAAGTTCTTCCTTACGGGCTGTGCGACTCAGCGAGTTTCTCAAAGTAGCCCCACCGGCAAAAAAAACACAGATTGGACGGTCTGGTCACCGTCTGATCTTCATTTGCCTCGATGCAAACACGTGAAAGGACACGAAGTAGCGGACGAGACGAGGCTCATCAAGCTCATCCCTGTTTTGTTTGCCACCGTGTTTGGGCATGTGTGTTTTTTTTCCCGAAAGCATTGCAAAGGGTTCTTCCGGAAATCTCTTGAACACTTACACTTCTATACTTACAATGGCACTGAAGTATCCAAGTGAAAGTTTGCAAGTGAAAGCATCCAAGTGCAAGTATGCAAGTGTAAGTATCCAAGTGTAA